ATTGTGCAGTCTGGTTCAGGACATGGGCAAGTCCGTCCTTGTGGGGAACATCAACATCTGGGTGCACCGCATGGAGAACATACTGCAGTGGCAACAGCAGCTTGACAACATTCAGATCAACAGGGTAAGTGTAAACCTCACTTTATTTCGTTAAAGGGATGGTTCAACCAAAAAATAAATTCTAAAATTCTGGCATCTTTTATTCACTCTCATGTCACTCCAAATCTCTGACTTTCTTCCACCAAAGGAGAGATTAGCAGTATGTTTTAGTATGCTGCTCTTTTCTGAAAAATGAAAGTGGATGGAAAAGGATATTAAAAAACAACAACACAAAAGCACCTTAAATATTACTTGTGGACTAAAATTTTTATTTTTTCTGATTAACTTAAATTTCAGTAAAAATCTTGACATCACCATTCACTGTCATTTGTCAGTTTTAGTTGACAATAACAACACTGGTACAGTAAATTATTTTTTGGGGGGTGTACTATCCCTTAATGCTACAAAAAACACTGTCTGATGGCATACAGAAAATACTTTATATTGTGCTCAGATTGTGAATGTAAACAGAAACACTTTTTCTTCGTTCATTTGTCCAGCCCACAAACACAGGGATGACCTTCCTTGATCTTCCGGCTAGCTTACAGCTGAACATCATGCACCGTCTCTCAGATGGACGAGATCTGGTCAGCCTGGGTCAGGTATGCCCTGACCTTACTGTGCTGTCAGAAGATCGGCTGTTGTGGAAGAAACTCTGCCAGTATCACTTCACAGACAGACAGGTACACGTTTGTGGCTCTTCAAATGGAATGTAACACTCTTAAGGTCTTGCTTGATGGCAGAGAGGATGAATCTTGCTTATTTATGTGACTGTTTATATCTTAAATCTGCTCATAAATACCTTGCATACACTAAATTCGGCTAAAGTAATTTGCTATGGTCTTCACAGATCCGAAAGCGCCTAATGATGTCAGAAAAAGGACATTTGGAATGGAAAAAGATGTATTTTAAGTTGTGCCGGTGCTACCCTCATAAGGAGCAGTACAGTGACACATTACAGTTCTGCACACATTGCCACATCCTGTTTTGGAAGGTGAGACTAAATTAATTTCTAGCTTTTCACATTTTATTTGAAAATATCGACCCATTTTTCATTTATGGTCCTTTTATGGCAATAACTGATTTTTTTTTTCCTGTTCACTTCAGGATACAGATCATCCTTGCACTGCCAACAACCCAGAGAGCTGCTGCAAGGCCGTGTCTCCACAGGGTTTTATCAACCTTTTCAAGTTCTAGGGGGCACTGCATTGCTGCTATGTACATAGTGTCAATAGTGCAAAGGATTCCTGGATGACTTGAGGCAGGGAAAAATGGGGTTGCATTAGAAGCAGGTGTCATAATGTTTTGTGGGAAGCTTGGAAACTGAATGTACTTTAGAAATATGCAAGATGAGAAACTAAAAAGCTGTGTTGGGGAAAAATATGCTCTGTTTATTTATAAAGGATTTATTTATATTTATTCAGCATGGATCTTGTTTACTCCAGGAAAAGTTACATTGAAGATTAGAAAAAGGATGTTTAAATTAATCCTACATGCATAAAAAGTTGCCCTTATGCTATCAGGATGCCCTGGTTTCTTCTGTGAATGTAATATAAGTTTGATTTTTGGCAACACAACATTTATTGTATGAAATTCAGATAGCATATTGGTGCTTTAGCAAGTGCATGAAATGGGAATGTTTACCAAAATGGCCTTAACACTGGTGTGCAATACTTTTCTAAGTACTTTTTTTCTTTCTTTTTTTTTTCACTTTTATACATTTGATATTTTCAGTGGTTTGTGATTTAAACATGCTTGTTTTTCTAAACACAATAAATACATAAGTATGTTTTAAGCAGATCTGAAGCGTAAACTTATTCTGAGTGGTCATAAGCAAATTTAAAAGATGTCATTTCATTTGCAGATGGTTCTTTCTGAATAAAACGTCTGAATCATATTCAGTTCTATAAGGGAATCGATGAATAAAATATTTATATAGATGCAGTTGTGAATTTATCACAATTCACAATAACTCATCACCTGTTGCATGTTTTGAATTTTATTTTTCCAACTTGTATTTCTCTGCTTACTATGTTATATTTGGTATTAGAAGGACATATATGACAAAGAAATATATACATGAGAATATATAAAGAACAAGAAGTCACTGGACTTGTTGATGAAATAACCCACAATCTATCATTGCCTTGCAAGATTTTTTTTTTTGATAAATTAAGAATTGAATATGTCTGGTGGTGACTATGGTTTTTGTTAAACTATAGATGTGGTCTACAAGTATGTGTGATACTGGGTACTTGTATTTACCTAAAACAACTAAATTCAATTGTGACTGCATCACACAAAGCACTAAATAATTCTGTACTAAAAATGTGTCTTTTTTTTATAGATTAGTTTTATTGTTGAATTACAGGTTATTTTGACATTAAAATATATCTCATGAAAAAATACTATGCTATGAGTCATATAAATATAATTAACAACCACTTTTATGCAGTCACGTCATGTGCTGCTTATTTTGCTATAACAAAACATTGCCATCAGTAAACAGCACAATTAACCAATACTGACTCTTCACTGTTGGAATCCATATCCACTGTGCATATTTATGCATGAATACAATGTGTAGCTCTCCATGTGCATAACCATTCAAATAAATACACATCACAGAAAAACTAGCATTAAAAGAAGAAATGTTCTAAAATTTAGTTTCTTTGAATAAATTCCACACCCTCCACATAGGAGAAAAAACAGGCTTTGGGCTGGCATTAAAAGAACATTTAATACCATGGCATTTACTTTATTAGCATATATTATGCATGACGTATATGTCTCCAGACCAAATAAAAAATGCATAAAAATGTCACAATTAAATATATTAAATGATGAAATATATATCAGGGGCGTTTCCTCCGAGGAGGCAAAGGAGGCAGTGTCTCCTCAAAATATTGGAATATTGGATGAGAAAACAAAATCGTAGTAGAAAAATAAAACGGCGCCAATATTACAAAATATAACATTAAAAAATGTATAAATCACTCGTTTTTCTAAAGAAACACTGTCCAACAGCGACACCAGCAAGTAATGTTACAGCGGGAGTCCGCGTCTCTATCGCCTCCACTGAGCCCATTGAGTTTTAAAGGGCACCCATTATGCCCCTTTTTACTAAATGTAATATAAGTCTCAGGTGTCCCCAGAATGTGTCTGTGAAGTTTCAGCTCAAAATACCCCACAGATAATTTATTATATCATTTTGAAAATGCCTATTTTGAGTGGAAGCAGAAACAAGCTGTTTCTTACGGTGGCCGAGAAGTGCAAAGCAAATCACAATTCTGAAAACAAAATAACAAATTACAAACAGCAGAGTCGTGGTAGAAAGTTCGGAGATGGTATTAAAGTAGCTCAGTTTAAATGTATTGTATGAATTGCCCTTACTCTGGAATAAAAAATATGGGGTGTCTATTTACATTTAGTTAAAAGTAGCTGTAAATCATCAGCTTCAGTGGCGCAGATGGATAAGTGCGTGTCCTTTGCTTTTTGACGCGATCGACCCGGGTTCGATCCCGTCTTTTGCCGAACTTTTTTTTCCTCCCTTTTCAAATCTCGTATCACATCGTAAAGGCATTTATTTTCAATAAAAATTAATTATCCATCTGTGCCACTGGAGCTGATGATTTACTGTCACTTTTAACTAAATGTATATATACACTCCGTATTTTTTATTCCATAGTAATGGCAATTCATACAATATATCTTTAAATGCAAATGAGCTTCTGCTCCCCGCCCACTTTTCCAGAATAGGGATGTGCCTTTACAGCTCCTACCTCAAATACTCTGCCAAAAAACATCTGTTTGGTTTTGATCATGTATATTGTGCTGAAATCATGCATTTTAAAGCCATATCAGTTTGAACTTCTGATATAAGGTTTTCTGAGCACACACATCCGATGCACGCGCACAGGAAGTTCCATGTTTGTGACCAATATTTACCGAGCTCTGATGACTGATGATCTGTAAAATAAATGTAACGTTCACACATGGCTTTAATGAATAGAATATTGATTAGTGATAGTGTAAGTGATAGTGTAAGTAATGTTTATTTAACCTAGAAAATGTGACTGGGACATGAATTTACATTTGATTGATTTATTTTATTTTATTTTTAAAGAAAGAAAAAGAAAAAAACTTTGCCTCCTTATTTCAGAACACCACCGCACACCACTGTTCTGAAACTGGTCATCAGGAACTGCTAGATTACTCAATTACAAACCAAGTTTCAGTTTGCTTACTTCTAGTGGGTAGTGTTTCATCATTGGGGAAGAAATGCTGACCATTTCATTAATTGAAAAAATACAATTAAGGAAACAATTAAAGAGGTTACAAATATACAATAACAAGGCAGTCTTTAAGTCAAGTAGTAAAATAATAATAAAAAAATGCTAAAACAAAATGCTGTCTGCCCATTTGAGCTTTTCGAAGCGCTATTTAATATATTTTGAAACAGGTTTTCTTTATAACTGTCTCGCCAATAGGGGGCTCCATAAGAAGACCTTAACATTTATTTGTTTATATACTTTGACAAGCAATGTTTGTAAATATCAAACAATTTACAAATGTAAGTTACATAAGTTTTGTTGAAGTTGATACACTGAACTGTTAAAGAAAACAGTTAATAATTTAACAAACATATGCATTGTAACTTTTTTCTACAGTAATATTATAAGAATAAAATAAAATAAGTTGTTATTTTTCATATAAATAACCATAAATAAGCATTCGTTCATATCATTCTACTAAATAAAATAAAAGCCTCACAAATGGGTTGACAATATGTTCACAATGTGTTAAGCAACATAAACATATTTGAAATATAGGACTTTTTTTTAAAGTAAACACTAAAAAAATGACTTTTGATAAGTTATAGAATCTATCCTACAAGTTTTAGCTATACTTTATCTGTTAATTACACTTTATGACTACCCATGCAAACTTTAAGAAGCCAACAACAAAATTACCTCATATTCCCCTTAATCGTGATTTTAAGAACACATGAAACATTTTTATTCCATTTCTAGATACTCTGAACTTTAAGGTGCTTAATTCCAAATTAACATCCAATCGATACTGGGATCCCTGTTATGGCATTAAAAGAACTCTAAAATAGGAGGTAGTCAGTGCAATGCATATTTTGTAGCGACATTCAAAACTATACGTTTTGTCTGTAATAGTGCAATTTTATGAGGTTTTAAATCCAACAGTGCATAAATGAGCACTAATTTGACTACCTTCGAGTACAAACATCAACACAAAGCGAGACGGGGCAAAGTCAGGCAGGCCAGATGTGGTTTCAGAGCTGGTGCTGCTGCTGCTGCTGATCATGTGGTCCTCATTCATGGGCTCTGAAATCACAAATGAAACACATATTTAAAGTAAATGAACATTATAAAAACATCATGCCTTGTCTATGTCTCAGCATGAAACAGACAAAAATGATATTATATATATATTTAATGAAACTACTTGTTGTTCATAGAAACAAAAACAAGCAAAAAACGTCCACAAAAACAACAGGGTTTCCTAGATAGGGACAAAACCACATTATCAGTGCTTTTAGGTTGCTTATTTTTGGACCTTCTCTGATTGTGTCAGCAAGAGAATAGGAACTACTAAGTTCCCATTTATTCAGAAAATAGCAAACTTTCATCAAGGATTTGTAATGAACACGTGACATGGTGACACAATGACATGATGTTAGGTGGGATATTCCAAGGATATCTGGTCAAATTAATATTTTTCATTACATTATACAGAATGATTTACCTTTCTTGCATTGGCTGACATGGTTAGAGCCATCAGCCCCTCAAGGTAGCTGCTCAGACTGATCCCCTTCACCGTGATGATTGCCTCTTGGGTTAATACAGTGCTGCAAAAGTAAAGCAAACATCATTTTCAGAAACTGGTGTTACTAGTTTGATATTTGATTTAACTTATTATTATATTACTTTCTATTTGTAAGGCTTGCATGTATGTGCATAGATATACATGCAGATATTACAATTAGATGACAATTACATGAAATACGATTACAACTGGATTTACTTACGCCTCTGGATTTTCTGGATGAGGCCTGTAGACGAGCCTTTCATCAACTGATATTAAATTAGTTAGGGTTATCTGAAGGAGAAAAGGAATTTCTTTAGTACAGCATAAAATGAAGATAAGAATTCATGTCATATCGATAAAACCACTTTCTATTAACAAAATAATCTGATTAGAATAGCTTTCAATAATTAATAGCTGTCAAATGGTAAACAAATACTCACATTTGTTGAGCAAAGCTCCATTTTTTTTTCTTCTGGGTCCACAATGGAATGTTCTTTTACATACGTGATGGTTCGATTTGTCCCCAAAATCTAAGGAAAAAAACATTTAAGATTCTTATAAGCCAGAGATTCTCAATTAGGAGGCCCCAGCAAACTTCCAAGAGAGCCTCAATATGACGTAAAATGATTTAAAATGATCCAAAACAACTGAAAATCAAATATATTTCTTATTTTAATTCACTGCCTCTGTGACAGTTTTTGAAGAACCAAGGTCGCCATTGTCTTGAAAAACCTGGATATATGAAGTAGTCTATAGTAATATTATAAGTTTGATTTCTAGTTATGCTAAGCTCTAATATATTTATCAGGTAGAAATAATTCTGAGTATAAAAATATTGTTTAAAAATCCTTATCCTTAATCTTTATTCAGTAAACCATGAACAACTGGAAAAACATGGGGCCTTTGAATATTGTTGTGGACAAAATATGGCCTTGGAGTCAAAAACATTGCGAACCACTGGTACGTACTGTTAGAGTGTTATATACACTTTCATATTGCTGAAACTATTAAATATCGCTTCGGATTGTTAATACGATTGTTAATTTACATATATAAATATATATGATATGTAAAATGTAAAAGCTGTAATGTAAATAAGATGTCAAATATATAAATAAATATGAAGACTACATATTTCAATACACATGAAGACAATATTTTTAGCAGTGTGAAGCATATCTTCTAACCGCTCTGACAACCCCTGGAAGCCCCCACTCTGTGCTGAGGAGCCGATGACTGTGTAGACGTCCATGTGTGTCCAAGTTCCTATCAAGAACGTCCACTCCAACAACACTAGGGTTCATTGGATTAGGATACTTCCTCATAGCTGCTTTGATCACAGTCTCCCAAGGGTAGCTGCGTGAATACAAACAAAAACACATGACAATAGATTTCAGCGGTTTATGAGGAACATCATTGTACTCACACTGACCTCATAGGCAAACCATATTCAAGGGAATTTTAGCTTAAATGCAAGCAGGAAGAATTTTTTGGCCAGTGTAGTTCATCATTATCATCAACGAACATCACGTCCATAACAAGAGACGCTGGGACCTTAAAAAAAGGTTTGTTTGAAATAATTGATTTCCACATAATGAATCATTTCTGAGTGAAACTAATGACAACTAAACAACAAAAAAAGAAACTAGGAAATATACGGTTTGCACAATTCTGTTTTGGAGGTGTGATGAATCATGCTGAATAAAAAAGAACAGACTGAGTTTGTTTGGTGGTTTTAGTTGGTTTAAGGTCTTAGCTCGTTTGAGGTGGTCTCGTCGGCTTGTTTAGCTGGGTAGCTAAAAAAATCCATTCTAAAGCAGACCAGCCTGAACAGGTTGAAATAACATCAAACCAGCTTAGGCTCTTTATCAATATGGAAATACACCACATTTTAGTCAACTTTTGAAATTTACTGACAGTCAGGGGAAAAAATTGTAATTTCCGTAAAAAACCTAAATAATATGTAACTACATTTATGAGTTTTATAGGCTATATAAAACTCATAAACTGCATAACTGTAATAGACGTTAACCGACAAGCAGGCCCAAATTAATGTATATTCGCAACTAATGCTCAAATTTGTGTTATGTGCAAGAATAGATTGCTTAAAAGCTAAATACACAAAAATGTCCAAAGGAAGCGAGCTACGCTGTTCCCGGATTCTAGCGCTAAAGGGAATCGGGATGCAAATCATGACAGAGAGGATGCTGGAATCTGTGCACGCGAGCGCTGCATTCGTCCTAAACGCTGCTTTCTCTACCCGAATATGTGCTCAGTGCTCCAAATCTTCATTTTTGCGACAATTTGAATGTGCCTCCAAACGATGGTGGACTGTAGATCTCATACACTCGTGTTTTCTCGCTCTGCTCCCATTATACCGGCTCCGAGATGCTCCTCATCTAATCAAGTGCAACGGAACCTCCCTGTTAAACCAGCAACTACCAACAGAGATCAAGCTTTGTGCTACTGACGCTTGTAGACGACTTGATGTACATCAGTGTTGCGCTACAAACGTGCAAAAGTGACTTTATGGTTGATAAATAATGTGTTGTTCATTTAAACGCTCGGATATTAGGCGCACAATAAACTAGATTATTTACTCCCTTTTTCTGTTCATTTGACTGATACATGAAAGTGTTAGAGTGCCACTAAATTGCGATTATTGAATATGACGCACATATTTAAGACTTAAAACGTTTGCTGTTGTTGTTGTTCATATGACACTAAAAGCTGCGGTTAGCCAGAATGACAAAATGCAAATGGGGAATTCATGTCTGGAATTTACATTCTTACCGCGCATGCGCATTTACTCATACGTATATTAATGGCAGAAGTGTTTCGTTTTCAGATGCCATCCGAACCACTTTACTTTGTGGCGTTATTGGTATTATTTGTGATTACTAATAGATGGACAGCACGGTTGTTATATCCTCCGGTAAGTTTCGAACAAGTATGTTGTTTTTTGTTAGTTTGTTTTGGGGAAGTAGGCTAGTAGCCTAAAAGAATGTGACAACAAGGAAGCGCAAAAAAAAAAAATCATTATAGCTGTCAATCAACTGTATGTCGGATTCAGTAGTAAAGCAAATGCAGGGTGAACGATGCAAAACAGTTATTGGTACAGTATAGTAGTAATAGAGGACGGATTTAAAAAAATTTTTTTAATGCCACAACCTTCCCAAATGTAAATGCTTAAGAACAATATGTAATTTCAACTGATTTCGACTGATAATTCTAGATTTTTGAGCACAGATAATGATACTGTTAGATGAAATGGCTGGTGATTTTAATTTTTTATCAAATATGTTTCTGTAATTTAAATAGGCTACTACAAAAACACAACAACTTTTTTTTATGAACAGTTTCTGAAAGTTTAACATGTTAAGATCAAGGCAATTGAGTATTAAACTTATTCGTCACACTTTATCCTAAGTACAACTTTTTATACATTTATTGGATGTATTCCATTATTTCTTTTCCCTTTGAAGCTTCTTGTGTTTTAAACAACTCTCTCTTGTTCTTTTTCACAATAGATAAACAATTGCAGCGCTATTTGGGCTTCCTAAGTAAGTGTATGACTGGGTATTTGGTTCAAAGGATGTCCAGCTGTTTGTCCCGATCCCGCACAATCACGGCGTATGAAGCACAGTTTATCGCATCCCAGCCCACGGACATGCAGAAAGCCTCCAGGCTGATGCAGATTGTCATTAAAAAAGGCCAAAATGCATGCAGTTCGTTCCTCAGATGCCTTGGAATTTGTGACCCGGTGTTGTATGAGAATGTTACAGGATTTCCAGGTTGGACAATCTATCAAAAATGAACACACCTTTGAAATAGATCTTTGCTACTGTCTGAATTGTTTATTCATTACTTATTTTTCTCTTTCTTTCTTTTCTTCTTTTCTTTCATGCATTTGCTGTCATTCAGCACAATTTAAGCAAGAGGACCATCAACATGTAGAGGAAATTCCTTTTTCAGGTAGATATTTTTGCATATTTTGCCTTACTGGTGATGTACCTTGTCATAGACTATTTTTCATCTTTGCCCTGTTGTTTTAGGAAGTATCAGGCTAGAGAAATCATTTAGCAATTCCTGTTCAGTGGTTAATATTCCACCTTACTTCCTGTTGTTGTCTCATTATTGTTTGAAAGATTACCTCACCCACTTAGTATTACAGGTATTGCTGTGGAAAACCGCATACTTTACTTCTCAAAAGTATGCATGACTAAGAGCCTTGTTTTGCTGTCCCACATCCCTTTAATGCAATGTGTTGTGTGGTTGCTCATATTGATGTCTTTTGTTTTTTGTCTTCTCTTATCAGAAAAATTGCAGTTTACACCTTGTATTATAAACATACAAAACTCTTCCCTGACCAACTGTATTATTGGGAACAACAATAGCCAATGCATTACCTGTGACCAGCATTCTTTGCTCACTCAGAATGATGCAAACAGTGGTAAGTACTGTGCCGCAGGAAATATAGGTCAAATTCTTTTAGGGTTATAGAGGTTATATCTTTATGCATGAACAGTTTATTGTATTTTTATACATTTATATAAATTGATAAAAATGGAAGCATAACCTATATAACTATTTAATACTGTTATGTTTGTAATTAATTATTTAATAATTAATTATTATATAATATAATTATTTTATTGTTCCTCAACCTACATAAATTAGGCTAAGTTTGATTTTAGACATAAAAAACAGAAGAGTTTCTGCGGGTCTTAAAAAGGTGTAATTCACACCTTCCAAAAATTAAGGCCAGAGAATAGGTCTTGAATTGGAGCAGAAAGTCTTAAAGGTTGCAAGCACTGCCAAAATAAAAATAAAAAGCTTAAATCAAGATACGTTTACTTGGGAGGCAAGTTTAGCACATGAAGCCTTGTTTTCTGAGAAATTGCTTTAAAATTACATTAAAATTACGTTAGTTAATGCTTAAAACAATACCAAACATCTGTCAGTTGGGAATTTTTCTGAGCCCATTGGCAGATATTTATTTTAATCAAAACCCACTTAATTTTGATCAGTTTCTCAGAAAACTAAATTTTTTGTTTGATGTCATTTTGCTTCTCAAGTAAATGTATCCTCATTTAAGAAGCTTTAGACATTTGCAGTGAAAAACAAGACAAAAATACTGATTAATCCATAATTTTCTTACAGTGTGACTGTGATCAGAAAGCACAGTAAAAGTTATTTCTATATTCTAGTGGTTGGGAGCAGAGGTATTCAAGTCATGATTTATTAATGTACTGTCTTCTATTCAAAAATGGTCTTAAAGTCTTTAAATTTACCTTTATAAACCTACAGAAACCAGATTATTATAAGAATGATAGAATAGATGAATAAAAAACACCACTTTATTTCTTCTTCCTTTTTTTTTTTTTTTTACAAACAGTGAATGAAATGGCGGACAGTCAGAGCCATGATCAGCTGATCCCAGTGCAGGATACAATAAGTGGCAGCAGCGTTCACATGGAGAGATCCAACATAGAGTATGTTATTATAGGTGACCGTAACAGTATGACAGTCACTGAGAACTCGGAGGTTGAGGAAGATACAGAGATTGAGCCTGAAGAGATTAGTTAAAAGATGTGAAATAGTGGGCAGGAGGTCAGACCCACAGTTTTGGAGAACTGCAGATTGTCAACTCGCCTTAACAGGCCTGACCTATGATTGTACACTGGAAGCATAATATATGCTTTAAACTGACCAATGCTCAGGTCTTCAGCAGGAGCTACCAAGCACACTGAAACATTATCCTTTATCGTGGATTTTCTAAACCTGTGTGCCTTGAGGTGGCAATGATATTTGATACTGCTTTAATTGCTACGGAACATGACTACTACTGACGGTTTTAATGGGTACACCAATATTTATTTGCTTAACAGAAATGTATGAAAGTAAATGTGTTGACTGACATTGCAATCAGTTGTTATTCAGTCTTTTACAAGCTTTCTGTAATTATACATAAATGTTGTTTACACAGGCTTGTGTCTTTTCAGTAATATTTGTATATTTAACTTAACGTCTATATATAACTTAAATATCTATTGACATTGTGATGGATATTCTCCTGATGTTTCAATAGTTATTCTGTAATAGTGTATTTCTGTTCTTTTTTTTTTGAATTTCTAATCATTTTATTCATATTACTAGGTGATAAAACCTGTACTGTACTGTCATTTTATGTACTGAATAAGGCATGTAGCTGACACATTTGTGATTTTGGAGTAATATTTTGAAATAAATGTGAAATTTGAAATGAAAGCAATCAGAGTGCTCTCTCAGCTGATGTAGGTGTCAAGACAAAAATATTACAAAATGAAAGGTCTTTACTGTAAATAAATGTACTTCTTAAAATATTTATTTAATTCACAGCAGTGTAAATAAATCAAAGACATTTTGGCTGAAAGCCTTGTCCAAAATTAAAGAAGGTCTGCACTCTAAATAAATGTCCTTTTAATGATATTTAATTCATAGCAGAGTACATACATTTAGACATGTGTATTTTTATACATTGTCTGTATTTTAAATGACCTTTGCAAATTACAAAATTAAAAAACAAGATGATTTTTGCTAATTCACACATCCACCCAAATAATGTTTTGATTAGTTTAAACAAGAGATTTATACATTTAAACAAGTGATTAAATGAATTCACTTTTAATATTTTATTAATTTATTTGTAGTATTTATTTTTTATATGAAGTAATTATTATTGTTTATATACCTACTTTTATTTGATCACATAAGGTCACGTGACATTTCCAACAAGTGTTTACATGCGTTACTTCCTCCAACTGAAAGTTGCGTCTTGCTGCCTGGTTCTTTATTTAACAAATACTAGCATAAATGTTTTTTGTTGTTGTTTGTTTAGTTTTTTTTGTCACTAATACAGTGAATCTCGACATGAGACTAAGGTTTAAAAACTATCTTGACAGACACTCATTAATGAATTTATGAAAATCGTTTGCAGTCATTGAATTTCCCGCTGCGATGCGCGTGTGAGGCGGGAGGCTGTTTGCTGGAGTAACTAACCGGAGAGTCGAAGTCGATGCTAATCATGCAAGTTACAGATATTGGGTCCAGAGAAGATGGGAAAATATGGCACAGAAAATCAGTATCATCAAAATATGGGTAAGTGTGATATAACCAGCTTGGATCAAACTGTTTTATGCAATGAGAAGAGATTCAGTTATGCATGTATGTATTTCCAGCGTCTTGGCCACTGTGACACGAAACGCGTCTGCTCGTCAAACCAAGACGGTTCGATTCCTGCAAGTGGCTTTTGACACCACAGGAGAGTCGTTTCTTGCTGGTGATCATCATGGCAATATTTATGTGTTTGACATTAGCAGAAACAGGTAGACTATATTTTCCCCTTTTAACTTTTAATACGCGTTCAGTTCTGTTGCTTTATCATAATTCTCGTATGCGTCTTAACGTTCATCGTTCGACAGATTTAAGCTGGTCCAGAAAACAGGCCAAGCATGCACTGCTTTAGCGTTCAACTTGAGAAGAACCACAGAGTTCCTGGTTGCTCTGGCTGATTATTCCATTAAGTGCTTTGACAAAGGTAAGACCCATTATTATATTTTTCTCATAAAGGCCTGCAAATGGTTAACTGGTCTTCTAAGAAGCTTAAACTACTGTTTCCAGACACCAGACAGCCAGTGAGCTGGATGCGGGGTCACGAAGGTGCCATTTCTTCCCTGTCCATCCACAGTTCAGGCAGCTACGCCATCAGCACTTCCTCAGACACTGCTCAGCTCTGGAACCTTGACACCTTTCAGAGAAAGAGGAAGCTTAATGTTCGTCAATCAGTTGGCATACAAAAGGTTTGACGTCACTTATCTGTGCTTAAGCATTATATTATGGTAACAGCTCTGCGTCATTCCCTCATTCCTGTGGGGTTTTTTTTTTGTAGGTGTTCTTTCTCCCACACAGCAACACCATTCTCAGCTGCTTTAGTGACGACTCCATTTTTGCTTGGGAGAGCGACACTCTTTTTTGCAAGTATCAGCTGCCTGTTCCACAGGATGGGCCCAGAATATACTACAGGGCATTTGCTGTTACGCAGTAAGGCTGTAACACTTAGACCCTAAATTGGCGAAGCTCCAACTGGTATTGTATGTAATCATTTTGTTTCATTGTAGAGATGGGAAAACACTTGCTGCGGCTGGACGCTCCAACTTAGTCCATTTGTGGTGTCTGGACAGTCGACAGCTCTTGAGAGTAATACAAATGCCTCCAAAAGTCAAGACAGTAAGATTTGTGGATTTCCTGCCAGATAGTTTTGATGGCGGATCCAACCAGGTACTGATCAGTAGTCTGCTAACCTAAAAAACATATTTATTATTAAAAACATATTCATTTTATGTACGTTTACTGTATAACATGGAATCTTTATGGTTTGCTTTCAGCATATTGTGCCCTTGTTAGAGAAATTATCTCATTTCTTTTCTAACACTCAGCCATTAATGAGAAGAATAACAACTGATGAACTTGAAAAGTTCATGAAAAGTTTGCCCCTATTGTCCAGTTTATACGTTGGAAATAACTCATACTGTAATATTCTCTCCTCAGATTCTGGGTGTTTTAAGCCAAGATGACGTCTTGCGCTTTATCAACATACAGTCATGCAAGCAGTTCTTTGAAATAGGGTCCCATGAGGACGCCATCACATTGGCAGCCATTTGTCCTAAAGGCCACCATATTGTTGCTGTGATGGACAGTGGTGCTCTCAGAATATATGATGTACGAAGCCTTACCCCAGAAATCAGTAAGGTAAATTCTTATTTATTGTTCTATTTCAAATAAATGCTGTTCTTTTGAACTTTCTAGTATTAATCAAAGAATCCTGAAAAAAATTTCCGTATTTCTTGAGCACAAAATCAGCATATTCGAATGATTTATGAACAGTCATGTGACACTGAAGACTAGAGTAATGGTGACGGCTTTGCTATCACAGGAATGAATTAAATTTTTATAATATATTAAAATAGAAAAAAGTTGTTTTAAATTGTAATAATATTTGATATTTTAATAAATACAGTAAAAATAGTAATATTGTGATCAAATAAATGCAGCCTTGATGAGCATTAGAGACTTATTAAAAAAAAATTTAAAAACATGTACCAACCCCAAACTTTTGAATATATGTTAGTATAATGTATGTGTGTTGTATACTTTTTTTTTTTTACTCTTTTGTTTGTGTAGCCTCCCCAGCCTTTGTTGAAACAGGTCACTAAAGGCAAAAGCAGTGAGGGATCGTGTTTGAAAATGAAGGTTTATGCTGGGGCAGGTCAGCATGTGAAAACATCAGGACGCAGAATCCAATCCAAAGTTTTACCATCTGCTGTTTCCACACTGGATGACAAAGAGGTTCTGTTTATATTCAGTTTTGTTCAATATTATTTTTAATTCATTCATTTTTTTTATTTGGGGGTTGGGTGCCTATGACACCTTCTGTATTGCTTTTTCAAGACATTCTCTTTTATTTAACACCCCCTTATTTAACTTCTGACCCAGTTATAATCATATCTAATTAATCTGTTTTGTGTAGAATGATTTGCCTAATGGCCTTAACAAGAAAAGACTACAAGTGCTACTAAGAGCATTTGGAGAATACCCAGCCAAATACAGGTAATGTAATAAATGTGTCATGCAGAAGCAATGATATTTTGTTGATTTAATGTGAAGCTGTAGTCTGCGTCTCCACTTTATTTGTGTGTGTGTGTGTGTGTGTGTGTGTTTATTTGTTTTTCCGGCAGGATGTTTATTTGGCGTTCTCTATTGCATCTACCTGAGAACCATGCAGCTTTCAGCAGTCTGACTGACAAAGGCCTGCACTCAGCGTACGTGTGCCTTCAGGAGCACTACCCCATCAAAAGCCACAAACTACAGAGAGGCCTACAGAGGTGGACACAGCATCAATCAATTGATGATTTAATTGTATAGATATAGATTTACCCACTATAATATTATGTCAAAATCTTAAATTACATTCAAGTGTCATATATATTCATCTTTTCATTTCTGACCTGGCAGAGTGCTGTCTGCTCTTGCTCATTGGGCTGCTGTCTTTGGCGAGACTGATTATCTTCCTCTGCTGGCTTTCCCATTTGTCAAGCTGTTCCAGAACAATCCACTGATCTGCTTTGAAGTAGTGGCCACTGTCATTGGTAGGTAGTGCAAGGCAGTAGTGTAGTGTAGTGACATACCACTGGTCTCTTTGGCTGTGATTCAACGATTTGGTCCGTAGCTGAGAGACTTTAAGTGTCTTGAATTGCTCTTTTACAGTGAACTGGTGCCAGCACTGGTTTGAGTACTTTCCCAACCCTCCGCTTAATGTGCTGAGTCTGGCTGAGAATGTGCTGGCCCATCATGATAAAGAGCTGCTTCAGCATTTTGTTGCCTGTGGTGTTACCTCACAGGTAAAAGACTTTAACATAAGTGTTTATATGATATAGACTTTGACTTTCAAAGAATTTAATCTTGAAGCCAAAGATAAAGTGAATGCCCTACACACTGTGCTTTTCCTCTCCAGATGTATGCATGGCCTCTTCTTGAGACCCTGTTCTCTGAGGTTCTGATGACAGAAGAGTGGCTGAAACTGTTTGACAATGTTTTCTCAAACCACCCCTCATTTCTTCTAATGGCTGTGGTGGCATATGTCACCTGCTGCAGAGCACCGCTACTGCTTTGTACTGACAAGAAGGACTTTGAGGTATAACTTCAGACATTTTAAAGATGTTTTTACAATCACTAGCCATTTGAAAAATTTTATGAAGAACAAATTTGGCTTATCAAGACAAGTTTATTCCATTTAGGGGTGTTTATTATTATTTATTTATTTTTATATAAATAATATAATAAAACATAATCATCATAAATAAATAAATGGTGTCTGTAAAATATTAGACACATGAAATTGATCAAAAGCGACAGTAAAGACTTACATTGTTACTAGAAAATCTATTTCATATTAATGGCATTCTTTTTAACTTTCTATTGATCAAAGATTTTTTTTTTTTACAAAATTTTTCAACATTGATAATAATAAGAAATAATTTTGAGCAGCAAATCAATATATTAGAATGATTTCTGAAGGATTGTGTGAGTATGAAAACCGGAGGAATGGCTGCTGAAAATTCAGCTTTGCCATCACAGGAATAAATTGCAATTTAAAATGTATTCAAATAGAAAACAGTTATTTTAATTTGTAATAATATTTTGCAATATTACTGATTTTACTGTATTTTTGATCAAATAAATGCAGCCTTGGTGAGCATAAAATAATTATTTCAAAAACTTTAAAAGAATCTTATGGACCCCCAAACTTTTGAATGGTAATGTATACATTATTAAATGATTTATTATTATTATTATTAATAACAAATGCTAACATTATATACATTTTCTTTCTTTCTATTTTTTTCCCCTTCCACAATATAGTACTTTTTCCATCATCAGAATAGCTTGGACATCAGTGCTATGCTGAAGGAAACCTATCGGTTGATGGACAGCACCCCTGCGGACATCCAACCCAGCTCTGTGCTGAGTGACTTTGAACCTCTGACACAGGGGCAGTACCCCATTTTCAACAAATACCCCACCTTCATAGTGGAGTACCAGTCCCAAGAACGTGAGAGGATCCGGCAACAAGAAGTGGAATATCTAAGGGAAAGGTGTAAACTTTTATTCATTTGTAATACTGATATGACTGAGGTATTTCATACTTGATGCACATTTTACAAAAAAGCTTCGGCTTATGTTTGTCTATGAAGACAAGAGGTTCAGGAGCTGCACGCTGAAGCAGTCAGACAGCAGGCTGAGTTTGAGGCCTGGTACAAACAGCAGGAGTTGCTACTGCAAGGAGAAGAGCAACGCAGAAGGATCCTACAGGAAGAGGAGAGTAAACTTGCACAACAGCGAGCCAGGTGGGTCTCCCTCCATCTGTTAGACTTCTTGCTAATGACCTACTTCAATTTTGCAGTTTCACACACACTCACAGTTCAACTGACGTAACCCTCTGTGCTCAGATTAGCTGCTATGAAGCGCGAGCTGAAGGTGAAGGAGCTCAGTCTGGTTGATTCTTCTAGAAGACGTTTTCTTAAGCACCAGCAAGATCAGCGCAGAATACAGCTCAAGAGACTTGATGACGAAATCCAGAGAAAGGTACTTGTGTGTTGTTGCTTTACTTTTAATTGTGTAAATTAATCATATTACTTTTTGGTTCAAAAGTTTGAGGTTGGTAAGTGTAGCAAACGTTCGTAGTTCGGGAAGAAGGAGGCGGGAACCGGCGGACATTTAAACAAACTTTAATAATAAAATAAACAAACACAAAATAGCGCGACAGCCCCTCGCGGACGACTGTCGCGCACAAACAAAACCAAAACACAAAATAAACTCCAGGCCTGGTCCTCTCTCGTCTTTCACTGTTGTCGCTCCTACTTTTATCCTTCCGGAGCTCCTCCGTGAGACTCGAGACCGGTGAGTGGCGCAGGTGTCGCGCATTAGCAATTACTCCACCAGCCTCGCTCCGTTCACATGGCTCTCACCCTCTCGTCACATACCCCCATCGCCCCTCGCAGGCCGGGGGGTACTCACGAGACTGCGCTCTACCCCCCCCCCCTCCGGGGGAGCCGATCACGGCGGCCGCGGCGTACCTGGGGGTAAGGACAGACAGACGAGGCGAGAGAAAAGGAGACGGAAGGATGAGGAGAGACAGACGAGAGAGGGGAGAGAGGAAAAAAAAAATTCTTGTTCCGGTTCCCAGACACACTGCCACTCGGCCCTCCACCAGCTGGGTAAGCTCTTCCGCGATGCCAGGCGGCGGCACTGGACAGCCCTCGGTGGACGGCACGACACTCCTCCGCCGCCCAGTGGACGGCGACGGCTCCTCCGCGTTCGGGCAGCCGGCAGGAGTCCCCCGTTCCCTGCTCCTCCCCATCATGGCGGATGGCAGCAGGCTCCGGCCTCAGGCAAACGGCGGCGACTCCTCCGCTCCCT